AAAACAGTGGACCTAAATAAACATACTTTAGAGTTTAAATAAAAAGAATTACAATTATTTTTTAAATGTATATTTTAAGCTAAAGTAATTTTAAAAGATTGAATCATTTAAAGTGGAAAAAAAATATTACTGTACAATATTTTTACAGCAGTTTTTGGGAAGGTCACATTTTTTTGTTTATAGGGTAAAAAGAGTCAGATTTTTTAAGGAAACATGTCTTTGCTTACAAAAAATGCTGTGAAACATATTATGTAACCTTATTATTAAGTAAGACTAAACGATTTAAATTCGGGTTTTTATATGACAGGCTACAGGGCTGTAAAGTTGTGTAAAAATGGTGAATGAAATATTGTATGTTAAAAGAAAAAAAAATCTTTGAAATGTAAAATCTGGCACTGGCTAAAATTTGGATGTAATTTGTTTCAATCAATAAAATTACTTTGTAGATATACCTAAAGCTGCCATTTTGTCACACAGAATTCTGTAACATTCAGAGGGAAAATTGGATAAATATTCACAATATGTGTCTTCTAAATGGTTGAAATGAAAAAAAAAAAGCAGTTAAGGAAATGTGTGTAAAAACATACTCTGTACACTGATGTTGACTGCACTGCTGAACTCTCCTGATCCAGACTCACACCAGTACACTGCAGTATCTGAATCTGATGTGTTGATGTTACATGTGGATCCAGTCATTCTCCTACATTCAGAGTACAATCGGCCGTCCTCAGAGAACTTCCTCACTCTCCCCTCAGCGAACTTTCCCACACAGGTCAGTGAGACAGAGTCAGAGGTGAAGTGTTGCACTCTGTCAGGACTCACTGTGAGAGATGCTGCTGAATGAACATCTGGAAACAACATGCAGTGAAGAGACAAAGCTTACAGATGTTAGGATTCAAAATATCACAGTGAAAATGTACCTTGTTTATCCAAATCCTATGTAAGAAATAATGACTATAAAAATTAAAATGAATTTAAATATTGAAAAAAAAATATACTCATTGCAAAGAAAAAAAAACATTAAAAAAAATAGTTGTTTCCATATTATCACATTATACAAGTGCAAAAATAATGAAAAGAAACAAAGAAATTCAGTTTGATCATAAATAAAAAATGGAAATATTCAATATACACAGATATTAAATTGTCATTATTGAATTTTAATGAGCTGATATTTGGTGAAAAGAGTTGACATAAAATTGGTTTATTGTGATGATAAACAGAATCAAACTGACCTGCAGACCAGACAAACTTTGGTTGACTGTGATCAGTGTGATATTCTGGGTCTCCTCTTCCAGCTCTGCACACATATCCTGCTGTGTGTGTCTGTCCATGAATGATGTAGGAGTTGTTTGCAGTCC